AGATGTCTTTCATGCACATTTTTTCAGAGTCACATTGAAAATGAACAATGTACTAAATACAGGTCAGATGCATAGTCAGAGAGACACTATTTAGCAATGTCTGTTTTCCTCCCTTCTGATTCATTTGGCATATTTTACTTTCACTTCCAAATTTATTTCCAACCATGGATTTTTAGTTAGTTCAGAACACTTGCACAATGTTGGTGTTATTTCATAACCTCAATTTATCACTTTGTCAAGGCAATTAAGCACGATAACATATTTCCTCCCACCTCAGCCTTAAGGTGTTGAGTCATTATCGGTTATGTTGCCAAAACTTGCCATGCAACCCCACTTTTTTCCCTTTTTGGCTGGTGTTGCTATAGCTACTGATTGAGTGAGCAAACCGGACAAAAAAAGACACAAAGCACCTATGGCAACCAAGGCCGACATGATCCGCAGAACAATCTGCAGTGATGGCCTATGCCTGTATTTTCTGGCAATCATCCTCAATCTGAGGCAGTTCTGGCCATTTTAGTTCCCTAAACGAGATTAGGATTTGATTTAGATTTGGGTTTAGCAATCTGGTATTCCAGTTAACACAACATACTTTCCTGGATTTAATAACTACCAGAAAGAGTAACAGCTGCCCAGGGCCAGATTGCATATGTGCAAGTTTTTCATCCATTTTTCAGTTCCACCTAAATACAGGAAAAAAATCTGCACATAACTCATTTGATCTGTGTATATAAGTAAAACAAATTATGAAATAAAGGACAAGAATGGCAACACTTTCTCTGAGTCATCAAATCTTGCTGATTCTACCACTGAGAAACAATTCCCTTCTCTACCGCAGACCTCTCCCTTTTGACATCCAACACTTTCCCAAAAATTATTTTAGACTCCAACACAGGTGCATGTGGGAGTGCTGTCTCTAAGCCAGACTTCACATTGGAATGATTTGATCCTTTCAACAAAACCATTCCTACCATCCAGGCAATGCACTGAGCCGTCCGGTCCAAGATTCCAGCTATCTTCCAGCCAGTCTTCCTGCTTCCCTCATTAGCTGCCCAGCAACCTAACGTGCACGACAGATTCCCTCGAGAACCATAGCCAGGCCTCTGTGGTAATGCATGTGACACACTAGCTGCACTTTTTTCCAATTTAAACAAGCCCAAATAAGCAGTCTATAGTTTTCTCTGGACAGAATAAAGACTTGAGCACTCCTCCTCAGGAATGTGATTAGAAAGACTAAATCAAGATGCTTTAAAGTGTGCTGCTGCTATTTCTGTGTCTCTATTTGTGTCCAGTGCTTTTTTTCCCCTGGAGTATCTGCCATCCCCATGTTTATTTGCTTCCTATCTATCAGCGCTTTACAGTAAACAGTGTTAAGAAGTATGACTCATGCTGCCGTAATGTAATAGGACGAGCGTGGCAGGAAATCAAAATAATGACTGAATATTGAAAGAGGAGAGGAGCAAGTGGCGACAGGCTACACACAAGGGAGTGTACGATCTGTTGAGAAGCTTATGTGACTCTGTTAACTAATTCATTTCACAAACTTAAAAATGCTGTGTTGAAGCATGTGAAGTAAATTGGATCTCGAGTCCAAATAATAGCCAGACAAATCATTTGTGGTGTCATATCTGCGAGGACATTACTCTTTTCTTAAGCAGAGGCTGTATACCCACACATCTTGAAGCACCCACAAAAAAGCCCATTTAAACACGTGCAAGCCAGCTCTGTAATGGGCCAGTGTTTTCACAGCTGGGACTGGACAAGAAGCCAGGGCAAACACTGAGATGGATCATCAGTGTCTTTTTGTGTGTGTGTGTGTGTGTGTGTGTGTGTAGCCTGAGGTGGTACATGCATCATTGAACGCTCTCACCCAAACATAAATTGTAGTGGTTTGTGAAGGATTAACCCTTATTATCCAGCTGTATGACTTAACCCTTTGCACACTGACCTGCTGACAGTGCTCACAAGGTTAACCAAAATTCACGTGTACAGTTATTCAGGTCAAACACAGGCTTGTTGTCAAAGCCTGGACAAATACGCTGCTTGCCAAACACACAAGCAATCGCACAAGGATGAACTTTAATTCTGTTTCGCCATAATGTCCTGATATGTTTCCCAAAAGTGTATTTGATGGTGCTCCAGATTTGTGGAGCAGGGAGTGTATTTTCAGAGTGCTGGTTTCCCCATCTGTGTGACCACAGTGCTGGGCCGCTTTCCCTGCATCTTTCTGCCCACTGTTCCCACGCCTCTTTCTGGGCTAAATACATATTTAGGGAAATACTGCGCAGCAAATCATATGCCCCGTTCTCTCAGGGCGCACAGAACCCATTACTCACAGCCTCTTCACTACCTGATGCTGAGAAACTGAACTTTGTTGTTTGTTAGTACGAAACCAAATCTAAGTTTGTGTAAATGTTGCTGAACGTGAGTGCTCTCCTTCAACTCTGCTTCGGGTTCCTACAGTTTTTCACATTCAAGGTCTAAAGTAGCCCTTTGCAACCACAGTCTTCCACTTCTGGCCACTGCGAAGCTTGAATGGAGCGAAGTCAGACTTAAAAACACTACTCTACTGTCAACTAGAATCAACTCTAGTTAGCAAATCTAATGACTGGACGACTGTTCTAGGTTGGATGCAACAAAGTCTGAGAACATTTCTTAAGTTTCACAAAAACTCACATGGGGATGCATTTTAACAAACGAGCATCAGACATCTGTGTGCCAGTCATCAAGATCAATGATTTCATAGCCACTTCCACTGTCCATTAGCAGAGCAACTACTCTGCACTTTAACATGCCCCACAGTACCGTCAATACATATTACACCAGGAAGAGCTCGCTCGAGATATATCCCTGAAAAGAGAAATGAATGACAAATGGATTCTTCTGTATAGTGGTACTATGCAGCGAGTTCAGTCAGTGCCGTGGAGCCATTTGAACACATGTAAAGCAGACTAAAAAGTGTGTGTGTGTGTGTGTGTGTGTGTGTGAACGTGCTCGTACCACTGTGTGCATGAGTAATGAATAAGATCCTGGCACATCACAACCAAGTTCCTCTAATGCACTCCCAGTAGACCAGAAGAAATAAACAGATAAAGATGAAGTGGACGTAAATGCAACGGCAAAGAAAGAGAGAGAGAGAGAGAGAGAGAGAGAGAGAGAGAGAGAGAGAAAGAGAGAGAGGGTGCCAAGAGTGAGAGTCAGCAAGAGAGGGCAGGAGGAGAGGAAAGGAGGGAGGGAGTTTTCAGAATTGTTATTGGAGCCGTAGAAGTCATTTCTGGCTTAAAGAGTTCCAGATGTGGGCCAGCCTCTGAGAAAAGAAAGAATTGGAGAAAAGGAGAGAAATCAAGAGGGTAAAGGGGGGGGGGGTATTTATCAGACCGTGCCCAACCATTTGATCAGTAGTCCGTCCCCCACCCCCAGATCTGAGTCTGGCTTCAGGACAGAAAATGAATCTGTGCGTTTGTGTGCACTGATGGTTGTAGCGGTAAAGGGGACTTCAGTGGGAGCGGCGGGGGGGCTGAAAGCCAGGTTTAGGGTGTGGGGTGTCAGGTGGTAAGGTGGTAGAGGGGCATGTGGCCCAGTCGTGGAGCTATAAAAAGTGAGGGTGGTCAGAATAATAGTCTGTTGTTATTACACACGGGTCTTTCTCAAAACCAGTGACTGAACTCACCAAAATAGGAGAGTCAAAACCCAACCAAAGGACATCTGGTTAAATGCTGGGACAAAAGCTGCTCTTTAACTTATTTAGCAATAAAATAGTTCCAACGCAGGCGTATGGCAGCATAACAGAGAAGTTCAACGCACTGCACTCTTTTTAGCACTTGTAAGTTTGAATTATGATGAAACCAGTGGTTGCTGCACAGAATAAGAAATGCAACAGTGAGTGAGTTTGTGCATGGTGTGTGTGCAAGTGCTGCCTGACCTCAGGCCTTTAGAAAGTCTTCTTCACAAAGAAAGGTGCTCCTGTCTGATAACATCTTAACTCAGATCAATCGTGAGTCTAATTTTTAAAACCCTCTAATAATGGCTACTTGTTTTCTCCATTCCTCTCTCCGTGTGCATGTCCATGGGCGTGTGCGCTTGTGTGCCCAGCTTCTCCAGCATTTGTTTTCACCCACTCTGCATTGGGCTTAGCTGCTAGATCACACAACAAAAGGCCATTGTGCTCCTGTTAAAAGCTCTGCTCCAGGGAGCTGGTAGTGGGCCACAGACAAAGGCTGGTTACATTGTCCCAACACAAGCTCATGAATCAGTTCCACTCTGGACTGCCAAAACAGCCATGGAAAGAGCGCTATGAGTGTATTAGGGGTTTTGAGGCAGGAGAAAGTTAATTTAGGAGGGACATGAGGGTGGAGGAAACAAATGGACAGGGAGCAGGATGCACATCTGGAGCTGGAAGAGAGGAGATGGTGCTCCAACAGGAGAAGAGGAGGAGAGCAGGATGAGGAAATGGGAGAAAGGATAAGGATTTTGAAGGAGTGCAGCCAGCACAGCAGGAGGAGGAGAGGTGAAGTCAGCACAAACACAGAGCTGTGTCAACAGACAAGCCTCCTGCCTGAGCTCCAAAAGGCTCAGTGCAAGACCAAATCACAACAGCAGAGCAAGAGTGACATTTCAGAACTCAACTGTGCAACAGACTGATGAGAGTGAAGCGGCTCAAATCTAATTTGGCAGCTGGGCACAGGATCCAGGTCAGAGAGAAAAGACTTCCATTGTTCACATGAGATGCCTCTGCGCTCTTATGTTCCTATTCTGACAGGTTGAATTAACAACGACTCCATCAAATTTTAAAAGGAACAAAACGCTGCTATTGTATCCAACTGCAGGCCACATTTCACCTTTTCCACACGTGCGCTGAGAGGAAGTGGAAAGTGGAGGCCAACACTTTGGATGGAGGAGTGTGAGAGAAATAAAAAAGTTATGACTTCAATTACTCAGCAAAGTAAAGTCGCAGCACAGTTTTAGTTCTTAGGGCACCGGAGGGGAATTAAAAGTATATTTACCATTGGCGTTCTTCCCGCAGATCAGGTGCTCATAGAGCTGCAGGACCCCCCACAGCTCTGCGTCATTGTTCACAATCACCTCCAGAGCCTCTGCGCTCACCGGGGCGCCACCTGACCCGGCGTCCGGCCCCGAGTGACTCCTCTCGGCTGACAGCACCCGAGCTCCTGCCTCCTCCACCAGAGCCTCCATGCATGAAGTCAGACATATAGCCGCGTACTCGTGGATGCGCACGGAAATGCGGGTGTCCACCATCCAGCGGAAGAAGCGTCCCACGGAGAAGGAGAGGCCGCACCGGGCTGACTTGCCCTTCCTCAGCAGCTCCCCGGCGCTCATGCTGTACATGGAGATCGCTTTGACCGTCGCGGAGACGCAGTGGTCGGCCAGGGCCCAGCTGAGCACCAGCCTCATGGCGCTCTGCACCTCGAAGCGCGTGCAGCGGCAGTGCATGACGCTGAGCCGCTGCGCCTCTCTGGAGATGCGGATCAGAGCCCTCCGCAGGAGACCGGACAGCCTCCGCACGGCCTCCGGGGAGAACACGGGTGCGGGTCCGCCCTTGACGCTCCCACTCGCGGCCACTTTGCGAAGTATCTTGGCCACTTCTTCCTCGGTCCAGGGGAACTCTTCCAGCTCAGGTAAGCGGGGGCACTTGGAGAAGATGTCCTCCGGGTCCTCGGGCAGGACCGTGTTGACCGTGTCCCAGCTGTTGTTCCTGCTGTTCATGGAGCCGGAGTAGTACCACCAGTTGCCCCGGTGTGGGGCCGTCATGAACGCCTGGGAGTTGGACTTGGAGGAGGACAGGCTGAGGGATTTACACGAGTCCCCCGCGCCGTAGCCCGAGTCCAGGGTCAGGTCCTCCAGGGTTTTCATGTGGACGTTGCTCAAACCGGCCATTGTGGTGAAGTGTCTTTTACCGGAGGTGCAGTCGAGGAGCCGGTGGAAGTGAATCAAACAGGAGCCGAAACTCCCCGCACAGCTGGATGAACTGGTTACACGACGCACTTGTCAGACATGCCGCTGAACGGAGCCGAGTGTGGGGCAGCGAAACGACACAGCTCCACCGACCCCACCGCACACAGACGTGATCTCCAAATTAAAACCGAAGAATCACGGTCGTTGACAAACTTGGCAGCGAGGAAACGTGGACTTCGCACCGGGACCAGATTTTTTAAAAACTTTTTTTCCTCCTCACTCTGCGAAAACACAACGAAATGTCTCCCCGCTCCTCAGACACGGTCACACCCGAGTTCAGCTATCACAGCAGGTCCCATTGATCCGCTCCACGCACCGACACTGGCTGGGTTTCGACAGTCACCGTGGAGAAGACGCCCGGGTTCAGCTCATCTCTCCCCCGCTGCGGAGCCTCTGGTCCCGGAGCAGCCCCTCGGCTACAGATGTGTGAGGGGAGGGGCCGCGGCTGACTGACAACACGGAAGTAGCGCAAACACCAATCAGGAGGCGGCTGAGTGTTTGCCACAGCCAATCAGGGCCCCGCACAAGAACTTCTCCAAAGTTGGGGTGGGGGTTCACTTTTAACTTTTTGAATGTAAAATCTGAACTGTCCAGGTTTGGGTGAAAGGTTTCTATTGGCACAAATTGAATAGAACAAAAAAAAAAAAATCTCCTAAATTATATTAATTGTTGTTTTTTTACTCTATATTTAAATACTTTATATTTATATAAAGGAGGACGCCATGTTTTTTTTTACAGTAGCCCAAACTGGACAAACCAAACCTTTTGAGTTTTTACAACAACTGAAGGCTGCCACAGGTTCTCCTTCATGTTTGGAGGGGGAGGGGGAGGTGAGGGGTATTCAGCTGCAACGTGTAACTTCACCACTAGATGTCACTAAATTGTACACACTGAACCTTTAACCTCTCAAAGGTCCAGTGTGGAAGATTTAGGTGAAAAGGATCTATTGGCTGAAATTGATTATGCAATAATCCTAGTGATGTTTTCACTAGTGTTTTTTTTTATCTTAGTTGTACGAATAGTTTTCTTTATCCTAGAATGAGCCCTTTATATTTAAATACTTTATATTTACAACAGGAGCGGGTCCTCTCTATGGAGGCTGCCATGTTTTATACAGTAGCTGTAACTGGAAGACACAATGCGATAGTGCGAGAAAGGATAAAATAAATTGCTAGGATCTGAATAAAGACGACATAAGGAAACTCAAAAGCCTGCATGTTGGACACAGAAAACTAAAAATATAGTCGTAGCCACACATCCTCTAGCAATGTGTTTGAAGTAGTGTTGTAAAAATGACTCATAGGGACACAGTGACGTTCAAAGTAGCAGCAAGTCTAGTGTAAGATGAGTAGAACAGCACCATCAGCATTACCAGTGTTCATTACGTAATTAAACTGGATTATTTGCATTGATATTGAAATACGAAGGAGTGCAAATGCAATATGTTATGTATTATACAAAGTATACAACAGTGTACTATAACACTGAAGCAGATATGTTATAAATTGTGACCTACAGCTCTGTGTTTGCTGTCATGTGTGAGTTATGACATTTTCCATGCACGCATTGGCACAGCATTGTATTTGAAACCTGTGTTTCTTATTTTCATTTTCTACCTCACGTCGAGATTCAGCATAACAATTTATAATCTAATTATATTTATGAGTTTGGGGAAATTCTTCTGGTTTGTTGCAGGAACCAAAATGCACACCAAGCACTCTCCAATTATCTCCTCATGTTGACTCAGGGGGGACTTGGCTTTCTGCCGACACATTAGCTAATCTCTCACCTGCAGCCTGCAACGCAAATTGAATCTGTAAAGCCCTCGGCGATGGTGTAAGAGGTGGAGCAGTGTTTGCTTTGATTTGATGAGGCTCTGGGTTTTCACTGAATGTGCATTTTAAAAGCTTATGTGGAATCGCACCGAAGACTGAATTGTCGTAATAGCGTGACTTAACGACACACAATATAGCTCTCTTTTTCTTCTCTTATTCATTTTCAACTTTGTGTTCTGGCCTCCATGGGTTGCAACAAGTCAGGTCACCTGTTCTGCAGAGCTGAAAGCAAAAGAACGTGGTCGCTCTTGCTTTCAGGACAAAATGTAAGAAAATCCTCTCACAACACGACGCGGTTTGGATCATTGTGGTGAACTGTTGGTTGATCTGGTTAGATCCTGGTTGGATGATGTGACACGCTCCAGGTAAAATAAAACAAACATGTCGAAGAGGTCTGTGACTACCTGCTTCTCATCAGTCTGCACTCACACAGACAGGTAGGGTGTGTCTAAAGAGTCCAACGCCATTACATAATAGGTTAAGCCCAGAGCCCGTTTACCCAGCATGCCCATGAGACGGCGACAGGCTGCGCAAGCGACACCTCTGAATGTTTTCCTGCACTTCCAGAAATCTGTGCGTTACAGGAAAAAATGTACACGCGTGTACTTAAAGTGGAAAAAGTGACTCTCAAAACATGTGAATCACTCAGTCAGGGGAACTGGGAACAGAGTTAACCTTTCAGTCCTGTTGACCTCCAGTGTTTTGCAGTCAAATCCATTTTAAATGATTTCAGAAGACACACACACACACACGTGTCTCCATGACTTCACAGGACATTACATTGACTTACAGTACATTGATTCCCTGGAGACTTTCTCTAACCATGACTACAGTTACTACTTGCCAAAACCTAACCATCACCCTTACTTTAACCTATATCTAACCTTATCTTTACCAAATCCTAAACCTGGAACATCTTCACCTTAAGATTTAATGACTTACATTATGGGGACTTGCTTTTTGTCCCTATATGGATGACAAGTCCCCACAACATGAAAAACACATCAAACACACACACACACACACACACACACAGGGTGTAAGGAGATCACTGGGGGTTTGCTCTTGCCTCATCCAGACCTCATGTAACTTTGGCGTAGATGGGGCTTACCTCATGGTGTGTGTGTGTGTGTGTGTGTGTGTGTGTGTGTGTGTTCAGGGCCAGCATCAGGCCAGCCCACCACCCTGAGCTAAAGTGACACACAGAACAAAACACTCTGCATTAGATTAGATGTTTTCTGAAAACACGTCAACCCTGCTGGAGTTCAAACTGTTAGTTTCACAATGTTTGATTTTCTCTCTGCATTGGTCAGGAAACAGAACGGATGTGACATTGGATGATTTCAGTTCTGATGTTGTCACTGGACATAATGACTTCAGAGAGCAATACCAGGTTTCCACAGTGAAGAGGTGTGAATATTTCTTAATCTTCAGCCTAACACACGACACTTCCCGTCCAGGCAGATGGTCACCAGGTTTCTTCCTGTTTTATTCTTGGCACCAAGTGCTCATTGTGGGAACTGCTGGGTTTCACAATATTGGGGGAGTCTGGATGAGGCAATGCTTTAGTTAATATGTGAAGTACTAAAAATGAGTTGAAAACATGAATAGAAAAGAGCCCAAGACAGGTTTTTAATTCATTGTTTTAAAGGCTGTATGGTGAATTCATGGGGCAGTTACAAACCCACACTAAAAGCTATTATGTCATCTCATATAATCTGATTTGTTTGCAAAAGAAAGAGATCCACTATTTGAGTTTAACGTGTGAGGATTTGAACTCATTTTTTACTTATTCATGAGATTTTATATCCTATGGTGATAATCCCACAACTTCACTGACTCTGTGTTTATGTTTTTTACGTCATTCATTCAACCACTGTGCTTTTGCAGGTACAGGACGTGTGTAAGGGTGTAGCACCACCGTGTGGCCAGATAGGGAATTGATATACCTCCATCTCCATCGACTAAACCTTAAACATTAAAGCAAATGTGGAAAAAAAAGATGTGGATGTAAGCATAAAACTTTATTTGCAAAAAACCGACAAATCAAAATAAAGGTACAATACATTCTTGAAACCTCTTTCTCTACAAAACAATTTCACAGAAATTACCTTGGAATGTATATTCCTATTTTTCATTTTTAATGTTTCTCATATATATAGTCTTATATTTACTGTGTTTTATTTTGTTCTTTAAATAATCCCATGTCAGTGACATACAGTATAGACCTTTTTTCCTGTCGAGGCAATGAGAGGGTCTTGGAGGGCATTTCTGACAATCACGTCGTCAATAAAAGATCACTGGCTCTCGTCCGTGCATTTGTCCAACCTTGAGCCCTCCAGCCATTCCCCGTCAATGTAAGTACCGTGTTGTATAAACAGAGGCATTAGGGGCTCGGCCTTCAGCCAAACTAATGGGAGCAGGAGATGTCCTGCTGGACAGCAGCTGCCACCGAGTCTCCATCACACCTCCTGCTCCCTCAATAGTCATCAACACCTACTATGTCTATCTCACCAGTGAGGACTTGAAACGACTCCTTCTCACTTCTAAGGTTAATATTATAACATAAAGACTGACACATCTGTAATTCATGTAAGAGAACCACATTTCCTTCTTTTACAGAGTATCTTAAATTTACAGTGACATAAATAACATTATATTTCTGTCTGTCCCTGCCCTCTTATGTCATTAAAAAAAAAAAAAAAATGGCTGGCAGCCAAACCCTGATAAAGGCACACATTTGAGAAACAGCCATGTCACATCGTGTCCAACACATGAGCCGGTCTCCCACAAGCTTAAATGAGGATGTGTTGGTGTTTTTCAACAGCTAAGCATTCCCTTTCTCGTTAATATTCTCACATGAGAGAAAGTTTTAATCCTCCGGAATCCAGTTTTTGAAATGCAACACACAGCTCAGTAACTGCTTAAAACCAGAGTGAGAACTTTAAATGAAGAGTCATAAAGTGTCCTCTCAGCTCCCCTCCTGTTCCAGTTGACGTTGAGGTGAGAGGTCTGGAGGGAATGGAGGACACCGAGTTTTGAGAAATCCATTCGCAGCGTTTTAGAACGGAAACAGCACCACGAATGTTACAGCATTCACACAAATGAAAACCCCTTTTTTTAAATAACTAACAGCAGAACAAATTTCAGTCAATAACAAAATTAATCAAGTAATAACCAGTAGCTATTAATCTGGTTGTAGTAACGTAAAACTGATGTTACAAAACAGCAGCAGGGCTAAATCTAATATTTCAGCTGATGAAATTACACAGATTAGCACGAAACTGAAAATGAATCCGAGACGAAAGACAGAAGAAGAAGAGAGAGACAGACAGAGACACAAAGATGAAACATCTGTCAGCATCTGTTTGGAAAAAATGGGCTTTTCTAATTAGAAAACCTTGTTTGTTTGATCAAATCAGACACCAGGAAAACGTCAGCACCTCGGTCATACTGGTTAATGATATTCAACAGGTAGTAGTTGACGTTATTTAGTAATACAGTCATAGCCACAGTTCCTCTACTCGATCTACGCCACCATGTCTGAATCTATCTGGATAACATGTCGACACACATTCTATTTTGCGCCTGCGTGGGAGCGTGTTAGAAAAGAAAAATCTTAGGTTGTCTTCACATCTCCTTGTTAGAAAAAAGGTGCTTCCTGTCATCATGAGCGCACACAAGAGGCAACACACACACACACAGACACACACGTCT